GAAGCAAGGCCCTGGCGGCCCCCACGGCAGGGACCAGGCCTGGCCCCTGCTCTGGTCCCTGCAGCCCGGAGGGGCTTTCCCCTCCCCAGGGCAAGGGCTGCCTGTGGGGAAGCAGAGGCTTCCCTGGCTCAGGGAGAGCCTGACTGACCGAACTCGCCTTGCTTAAAGTGCACAGAGGCAGTTCCCTGTGTTGGTCTCGGCAGCAGCATAACTACTGCCTGGTGTCTGGGGCAACCAGCCCAGGTGCCACCGTCAGCACCCTGGGGAGTGCAGCGGGGTCTCCCCAGGGCTTGAGGCAACCCTCAAGTCCCCAGAGCACCTCCTGGGATGGCAGGAAAGCTGGGGCAGCCTGCCCTCTTCTGCAGAGGGAACACACACCCCTGGTGATAAAGCAGCAACATCTGTTTCTACCTTTTTGTTGCACCTCTAATTTGCCTTTCACGCAGTACAGCAAAGGGAACCGATGCTGTTGGCTTCGTGCTTGCACTGCCACAGAAATTTTGATGGCACAAATGAGACATTGGGCAATATTGGTTTTCACCCCTCATATGCAAAGGACTGGGCCATATATCTGTTTTGGTGCAAGTCGTATTCTGGTCTAATTGGGGCTACAACAAACTGACTGGCTATTTTTACAGCCTGGCAGACTGGAGGTGACCTGGCAAAGTGGAGTAAGATGGGTGGCTCCACAGGCGCTTGCCTGAGGGAGAAGTGCTGGGCCTGAGGTGATCTTGGTGACTATATGGATCAGAGGCACAAACTGATCGGCAGCAGCAAAAACAGACTGTTAGTCTTATGTGGCCCTGAGGAAGCCAAGACACAACTCCCAACAAGACCAGACACAGCCCAGCCATTCACATCAAATGACAATTAAATTGAACTAGCCATGATCCTTCTGAGGCAGAGTTCATTCAAAAAAATTGTACTTAAATGTGGGACATTGAGATTAGTTGTCTGTAAGATTTGGACTTGATGTAACACAAAATGGTCTGGTGTTTTTCTTGTTTTTTTTAGCCTAGTGGAGCTGCCCTGACTCCAGACTAGCAGGGACCTACCACCCTCCAAGCTGGCTTTCAGTGAGGGGGTGGCACTGTTGAGGCATAGAGGAGGCTGGAGCTAGAGGAAGGTGCAGCTAGTCAGTGAGTGCTCCTCAGCCTGGTTACACTGGGAGCTCCATAGGAAATGTCAGCTCTGAGCTTATACTTGTTTTTGACTACAGAAAAATAGAGCAATTATTCTGTTGCAAAAAGCTCAAGAAGCCCCCCCCCCCCC